GGCGTCATTTGCCTAGCAACTCGATTTGATGTAACTGCTCAAGTGTCCCTCCGATTTCAAAGGCTCCTTTTCCGGTATTTTCGTCTTCTCTGACTTTAGGTGCCGTGATTCTGATGTCAGGTGCCCTATTTGGCAGAAAGACGGAGATTGTACAAACAACTTCAAGTACATGCTGCGTGTTTGCCCCAAGAGCTGTGACTACTGCGCTGATCCGACGAAGCCTGGAGCGTGTAGAGACGCCTACGTTGCCCCAGCTGATTGCCTGGACTGGACGATGGATGGCGAATGTTATGCAAATCCAGTTTGGATGACTGAACAGTGCGCCGCTTCATGCGGTCGATGTCCTCAAACAAATACTATTAAGTAAGCTCCCAAATATTTATGTGAACGTTTGGCTAATGCGACTATGACGGTCGTCTACAGTTAAAACATTCACACTTCTTGTTCAGTTGCGCAAATTCCTGTTATTATCCAGTGACTGCCTCAGCAAATGGGTGCTGAACGCCCCAGCTGGTATAGCTATAGCTGGCATGGCTGCCCTGGTAACAGCTTGCCAAATGTTTTAGGGGATACAAGGCACTTACCTCTGATCGGAATATAACCGATTAAGCTGACCTATTGTTTATTCCAAAAACTAAGCCTTCCTATCCAGTAACACCCCTGCCTGTCTAACCCTAATGCTAGTGGTTACTTTTAGGTGTCGTGATCAAAGTTAGGGTTATGGTTTTAAAGCGAGGGTAAGGGAAGGGGTAAATTTTTAAAGGTTCCCTTCAAGGTTTTTAGGTAAGGTTACGTATGGGTTTAAGATGACAATTGAAAGGTTACTTTTGAGAGTTAAGTTCTGGGTAAGTATCTGGATTTTCAAAGTTATTTTAAGAGACCTGGTTTGGTTTACTATGTTAAGGTTAGTTACAATGGTAAGAGTCAGGGGAAGGGTTCTGAGAATAACTCTCAAATTTGCGATTGGCGCCCGAAGAACCGCCTGGCTCATACGACTGGCCGGGGTAGAGTACTAATCCTGTCAACAACCGGCGCGACATCCCACGTACGGCATGTGGGCGGAACGATAGTGCGGCGTGCGTGCTGCAGACGATTTACCGAGTACACA